TTTAAAAAACATTTTTTTTTTTTTTTTACGGGGTGCCGACGACCCCTGACCGGTAGGTGCCGACCAGCCAACCGGTCGGCGGGTCGGCTGCCGACTAGTCAAGGGCCGGCGACCGTCGGCGTGTTCAACACTGTTTAAAAGAAAAAAAAAAACAGGTCCTTACGGTCCTGGCTCCATATCCATTGTGGGGAGCGTCAGTCCGGTTCCTATTCCCCCGGCAAGTCAAAATTGAATACAAAATAGTACCCACACACGCTTCCTTCCGTCTGGCCGAAGGAACCCTGACCAGCATTGATTGCTCCTTCTCGTGCACAATCAATTGTTTTCCAAATCTTTGATAGACTGTCAGCTTGCCCAGACCACTTGTTCCTCTCAGGCTTCGATTCAGAGCCTGTCAGATAACTCTTTGCATAGCAAGAACCGCGAACGGGTCTGCTACACGCTATGTTGTTTGTCATTGTCCTTCTCTGTGTACCCTTTGAGTACTGTGGTTGATCGCAGTTCCGACCTTTCTGTCAGGTAGCCTGGTGGGGCTCAACCGCCATTGTGGTAAAGCCTGGTGCCATTTCTTCCATCTCAATCTGTTGTCTACTATCGTAGCCACCTTGCCCTTCAGCAGCCATTCTCTCTTGAATGTCTGCTTCCTGGTTGCTTGTTTTTCAGGTCTGTGTTGCATAGAGGTCGCTATTCTCCGCCATCTGCTCCTGATTTCCGTCTCTGCCATGCTCAGTAGTAGAGACCACATTTCTTCCTTTGCCACCTCTGCTTTCTGAATTGTCCGGGTGCATCTGCGCTTCCATATTACCCACAGTGCCAATTTCCTGAGCAGGAGGAACCAGACTTCCCTGCTGCCCTTGATGTTGCTGGGAGTGTTAGGTAGCAGTAAGATAGAGAGGGGAGGGATGTTGGGGGGGGTGTTGAGAACAGGGTTGACCACAGACCCCAGACCTTCTTCCAGATCCATGTTGCTTCTGGACAGGATAGGAGGCAGTGAGGGATGTCCTCGGGTGAGTTGTTCTTGCACAATGAGCAGCTTTCCGAACTCTCCGGGTCGGAATGCTTCCTTCTTGCGTGTAGCCATTGGTTGACGGGAAGGGCTGTTTGTGCTATCAGCCATTGCATGTTGCGGATATGGTTTGAGCGGATAAGAAGGTATTTAGTCCACGGGATGGTGATAGTTGTCGCAGGGTCTAGGTGGAGGATGGTTCTCCACTTTTCGGCCAGCCTTGGGTTTGGGTCAGTGGTTTTTAGTCCGAGGTTATAGCCAAACTTTACGTCATATTCTGTTATCCCCCTTGGTTTCCCGGTGGTGCCCTGGTCCCATATCCACGCCTTTGGGTCGAATTGTAGGTCCTCGATGTTGAGTTCCAGTCTTCCAGTTGGAAGATGAGCCAGGGTTTCCCGTGAGAGACTCTGACCTTCCTTAGCAAGAAGGTTTCAATTTGTTAATGTTGTGGTGCTTTGTTCAGGGCTTCTAGTTCGTATAGGCTGTGTCTGGCGATGGGGTAGGAAATGAAGTTGGCCTGGTAGTTAGTTGGGTGCGGTTTGGATATGAACCGGTAGGCTCTTGTTGGTGTGGACTGTGTGGTGAGTAATCCCCAGTCGTCTGGTTTCCACGTGTGTGTCTCTTTTAGGAGGGTCGTCCATGACGGGGGATGCTGTGATGAATCTCCGATAGGTTGTTGGACAGCAGGTGACAACCCTTCAGGGTGGTGCGCAGATCCTGTTCGTTAAGCCATTCTTGCCGGTCCTCGGACCATAGATATTTGATCTGCCATACACCTCGTTCTACCCATGAGAGCCATCTGCGGTCTTTAGGTCAGAGAGTCTAGGGCTCGCCCTCTGTGTCTTTAATCCAAGGATTGCAGAACAGGGGCTGTCTTAGGACTTCCTCTTTATTGCACGGAGAACCTTTCTTTCTGGCATCAGTCGGCGCCAGGCCTTCAGGATCGGTGACCAGTAGGGGTGAGTTGTGGTGGAGGGATGAGTGGGTGTTGCAGAGTGAGTACTCCTTGTTGACCTCCCTGATTTCATTGCCCATTCCCTTGCCATGATCCAGAAGAGGCCCCTCATGTTCGGTGGAGAAGCTACCGGTGCCAAATTCCTTATGCTGTCTAATGCCATCTTAGTTCACGGGAGGGCATGCTTTGTTAGGATTTTGATTACCCATTTCATCTGGAGGGCGGTCGCTTCCTGTTTCGGATTGATGATGCCTAGTCCTCCTTCGTGTGGTTTCTTGATGACGATTTGTCAGGCTACGTTGTTTAGGCATGTGGTTCTGCTGGGGTCTCCAGTCCACAAGTAGCATCTGGCTTTCGCTTTCAGCTTTTTCAGGTCGTCATCGGGAGGGGACCATATGGAGGCCATGTGCCACAGTGATGAGAAAACGGCCGCGTTGATGATCAATGCTCTCCCTAGCAAGGAGGCCTGGGCTTTCCTGCAGGGGGCTAGACGAGTTATCGCTCTGGCAATCAGAGTCTCCCCCATCCCTTGCCAAATGCCATCTTTGTTTACCATAATGCCCAGGTAACGAAGAGCTTGGTCTCCTGTGGACCATGACATCGGGGTGGTCTGGGGGTTGGGGGGGGTGCCTTCTGCAAGCCACCATCCTTCGGTTTTTTCCCAGTTCACCGTCATTTCTGAAGCTACTCTGAAGGCTTCCATAGCGCGGGTTAGGGCTTGAAAGGAGGAATTGTTGGCGCGGATGAGGACTGTGAGGTCGTTTGCGAACATAAGTGCTGTGAGTAGAGCGAAATCGTGAAGGGGATTGTAGTTTTGTTCAGCCAGGCGGCCTATGGATGGCTCCTTGTGCAGAAAAGATGCAATCGCTTCCATTATGAACAGGAATATCGGTGGTGCGAGGGGGTCTCCTTGGCTGGGTCCTTGCGTGAAGGAATATCGGTGATGCGAGGGGGTCTCTAAGAAAGGCTCCTCAGGAAAAACGAACAACATATGCCTGCATTAACACTCCCCCCCTTCGCCAGCACCCCCACCATACGCTTGAGTTAACACTCCCTCCCCCCCTCCCTGCCACCCCCACCCGCGTCCCCCGTACATTCGTGATCAGGGTGTGTTGTTTGGGGGAAGACATAGCAGCCAGTACATGCTATGTTTGCTATTGTATGGACCCAAACAGGTTTAGGTTTAGCCGGGTTCAGATGCAGGACCTTTCGCTCAGTTTCCTGAAAGGGCAGCTGTGGGTAATCCACGTGGCAGCCATTTGTTCTAAAGCTGTCCATCAGAAGATTTATAAGACCAACTGCCCTCCTTGATCTTTACCACAAAAGATGCCAGGCACCAGCATATCGACCTATGATGAATTTGCTGGTGCGACCCTGCCCGAATGGGCCTAACATGTTCAGACCAAATAGCTACACCTGACTCGTTGCTCATGGCACCATTTTTCCTGGACACATGGTTGCATCCCTGTCGACCCCCCCCACCGACCGTATTGCAGCCGACCAGCAGGGCCGACCGGTCGGCGGTCTGCCAACCAGTCAGAAAACAACCATCCACTAATTTTTTTTCAGATCTGAGTTTGAAGCTGTAATGCGCTTGCTGAGTACAGCCCAAATCCGCTGAGAACTTTTTGGGGATGGGGGGGTTGGGGGAAAGGTGTATAGGGGGGTCTAGGGGGCAGGGTGTATGAGGGTGTATAGGGGGGTCTAGGGGGCTATAGGGGTGGTATAGGGGGTACTGGGGGGGTGTATGAGGGTGTTGGGGGGCGGTTTGTGGGTGTTGGGGGGGGGTATGGGGGTATTTGGGGTTCGTATGGGGGTGTTCGTGGGGTTATTAGGGGTTCCGGACCAAATCGGCGGGTCTGCAGCCGACCAGTCAAGGGTGGCCGACGGTCGGGGTGTGCAACACTGAGTGGCAGTGTAAATAACTGCCCAGTACACATAACCGCATCTTCAGGCCTGTTGAGGTCACAGGTAACGGACAAGTACACATGTAGCTGTTGATGAATAGACAGTGGTTCAAATCCTCACAGAATCAGCTTAAACTCCATAGCTTCACAGAAAAGAACGGAAAAAAAAATGTCCAGGGCTACCCCTCCAAAAATTTGAAGAAAAAAGGTGTCTTTGCCCACTCTTCGATCCTTTTAAGCCCACAGTGAAGTTGGAAGTCATTGGGTCGCCCGGCACAGATGACAAGGTCCCCAGTTTTTGTAAACTACTGATTCTACTGAATGAACGGATCTCAAATCGAGGCATCAAATTCATGCATGCTTGGTTGAATATAACATGACTTGAGCAAGGATGTTGTTTCAGGGAGGAAAACGTTAATAAGCCAGTTCCGGATGGAAATTTCGAAAAGTAATGCCATTGACATGCAGGAGGAATATTCTTGATGCGTTGTCATGTGTTATGGGACAGTTAACCCCTTTTTTCAAGGCACTGGAGGAATCTTTACTGGATGGTATAACTATGACGTGTGGAGCCTTGGGTTATGTGATGAACAGCTGGTTTGCAATGTCTGCGGAATGAGATGTGATCTCTTGCAAACTGTTCGCCTTAAGTCAATGAAGGTCAATGATTGATCCTCCCAATGCTGTTGTATGCTTTTCATGATGCAGTCTTCCCTGCCAGGCGTTTCGAGGAGCCCACTCTCCCCGTCGGACGAGATAGAGGAGAACAGCATTGCTTTCTTGAGGAGGCAGAATGAAGAGATTTGCTCAGAGGTTAGTGCGCACGACAGGCTGCTTTCGTGTAGCTCTTTCTGACTTTTGATAGACTGCCTGTTGGCAATTCATGGTGTTCGGCCCTTTGTGCATGTTGAAGAGTTCGAAAGGATTGAAATTTGAAATTCAAGCCAGGTGTGTAGAAGAACACGCACGCATGCACTATATGTGACTATGTATGGGTGGGCCATCTGCTGTCACTCCCGCCCCTCGAAGGTGACAAACCCTGGCTACAGATCACCCAATTTCCAGCCAACAACCTGTGTCTATTATTCTCCACTTGCCACTGACTTCGTCCGGGTTTGCACGTAGTGCGATGGCTAGCAGGCTGCTTTACTCCTGTGGTGACTAAAGGCCAACGCCTACGCCCTAGCGTCCGTTGGTGCTGTATGCTTCGACAGCATGAACCTGGTCGGAAACTTGGTCAAGTTGTGCTTTCGTACCACAAAGATTGCTTACAGTGTGAAGGGTGTTCGATTGGCAAGGCAACTAACTGCCAAACGCCGGAATCCTTGTCCTGTAGTCTATGTCAGTTCAGGAGCAGTTCTCACGACTCCCGGTTCACAGCATCTGGTGCATGCATGAAGTTTACCTGGCCTGGTATTAATGAAGCTATGATATGTTCCAAAGTGGAGATCCATAACAGGGCATACTCGTACTCTGGGACTTTCCTAAGGGTATCTCACCACCATTGCAGTTAGATTCTCTCGAAGGCATGTACCATTAACATATCTGACAACCGTTACTGATCAATCCGGTTGAAATAGTCCTTACAATCGTTACCCACAAACCCACAAAATGTAGAAGACATGCCAACCTCGAGGAGGAGGAGAAGGCTGTGGGTCGGGAAGGAAACGAAGTCCCGAGCAACATGGTGCACTTTGTAGTATGCATGATGTTCAACTGTTATTAGATTAAGTTCATGCTGCGGAGCAAATTCTCTCTCTCTGGTGGAAGACATCTTGAATTGGTGATACCAAGACACCGCTTGTACACTGAGCTTCGCCGCTCACTAATCTTTTCTTTTTTTTTTCTTGAAACATTTTTCACCTTTGCAGTAGCAGATGCGGATCCCAGGGCTCGATCCCTAGACCCCCCCCCCCCCCCCCCTTCTCACCCATGTACAGTACCAGTCGACCCCTGTGTGTTTGAACCCGCGACTTGTGTTTTGGTAGTTGATAGTTTGTCTGTGTAGCCTGATGTGGTCGTCGACTCTTGATCCGTAGGTCTGTCGAGTAGGAGTCCTGAAGGTCAAAGTCGTAGTTGCTACAGTCCCGAAAGGTCAAGTCCACAGACTTCCGGAAGATCCAGGAGTGACCTTCCGTAGGGTCCTAAGAGTCAGCCTAGGGGAGAGTGGGCAAGTGGGCAGTCCAACCTCACCTAGTCAGCGGGGCCCAGTCCCAGCCGCACCTTGTCCAGTCAGCAAGTATCATGTGGGATTGTGTGCACCCTGGGCCCGGTGGAAAGGAGTAGACCAGCAACCATCCAAAGCATAAATCAAGAGGCAGCGTCCAGTCAGTCATTCATTCTGCCTGTGAGCCATACGGAAGCGCTGCCTGAGTCATAGTCGCACCTTGTTTAGTCAGCTGAGAACACTCATTATGTCTGAGTGTCATGATGCTCGCGGCCACTTTGGGGCCTTGAAATCGTTGGCGGCCCTGTCGCAGCGGTTCTTCTGGCCGGAGATGAGGAAAGACCTACTGCACTATGTTGAAACCTGTGAGTTGTGCCAAAGGAATAAGGTCGTTCGCCGACCTCCCCTTGGCCTACTGCAGCCACTTCCCCTCCCTGATGCACCAGCACAGTCAGTGGCTATTGATTTCACTGACCTGGGGAGGACCACTCCTTGCGGTATGCGTCAGGTCATGGTGTGTGTGGATAGGTTCTCCAAGTACGCTAAGTTTATTCCTTTGCCAGAGGAAGCCAGAGTCTCGGCTGTGCAGGCGGCCTTTGCAGATAGGTGGGTTACTCATCATGAACCACCCACCTCCATTGTCAGTGATAGAGATCCATGTTTCTGCAGCAATCAGTGGCAGTCCTATTGCAAGGACTACCTCCATTCCAGACTGGATATGACATCTGGTCGTCATCCTGAAGCCAATGGGCAGGCTGAAGTGATGAACCAGATTCTTTTCCAGTTGCTGCGTCCTGTGATCAGCCCTGATCAGCACGATTGGGATCTCCATCTAGGACGGGCACAGCTAGTGTGCAACACATCTGTACACTCCTCCACAGGGTTCACCCCTTATCGGTTGCACTGGGGACGTGAGCCACGACAGCCTCTCGATGACATCATCGATAAGGCTACCCCCAGACTGACTCCTGGGACTGCAGCGTTCACCAGACAGTACGAGAGGGATATCGAACGAGCCAGAGTTAACCTGCTCAAAGCCCAAAAGGCTATGATCCAGCAGGCTAACAAGCATCGTCGACCATCCCCCATCCGCGCTGGTGACTGCGTCTGGGTACTCAATTCTGAGCTATCGCGGGAGGAGGACATTTCGCCCAAGTTGTTGTCGCGTTACATGGGTCCATGGCAGGTTTTGGATACAGTGGGAGCTGACCCTTTTGGGCCATCCTATCACGTAGATGTCCCACTGCATCTACAAACCTACCCTGTCTTTCATGCATCCAAGCTGTTGCCGTTTGTCCCAGCTGATGCATTTCCAGACAGGCCTCCTCAATTTGGTCCCCCGATCCCTGGGAAGGGATATGAGGTGGAAAAAGTTGAGGATATGGTACAAACCCGGATAAGGAGTACCTTGTGAAGTTTCTTTACCAGCCCCATACTGAGGATCGCTGGTTACTCGCAAGGAGCTTCTGAAAACAGCAAAGTTTGTTATCCTTAAATATAAGGCTATGCAAAGGGAAGAACCCCTTCGACGCTCGACACGCCTACGCCCCTAGCTCGGAGGTCCTTGCTCCGGGGGAGGGTAGGTCTGCAATGACTTGCTGGTTCCAGGTTGCCTGTAGCCTCTCTCAGACGAGGCTGTACCATAGGTAGGGACAGATTCATAGTTTTGTTTGGTTGAGGGCTTACCGAGAGACAACGGAATTCGACATTTATTGTGGGATTTAAGGAAAATTCGTGAGGGACATATTTGTAAATATAGGAGATATAAGCCTAGTACTAACTCGAATTTCCTACAGTTACCCTAACTGCAAATAGAAGACCCGGGCTACTCCGAGGACAGACAGGCCCAATGGGCTTATGCTGATAGACGGTCCTATAGCCTATAGCCGGGAAGGGAGAGGCACTAGCGGCCGAAATAGAAACGGTACCGGTCGCTCAGTCAGTCCGGTCTAGGTCGTGTCCAGGCTAGTCTAGGGTATAGATAGGATGGGGACATCGGTCCTGGGCTTTTGGCAGTTGACACTTCGTGGTGGAAGTTGCTGCGCACACGGTATCAGGTCGTGGTTGCTGATTCCGGTGTTGGAGACGGCGGACATAGCAGACCTACGAAGCGCTGACCAGACTGGGGTCAACGCTGTCCGCTCTGACTCTCTGGGAATCAAAGCGGTCTGGGCTATCAGAGGTCTGATGCGTTGGAGCACGTGGTGCACTACTGACCCTCCTCAAGAGTAGTGTCCCAGTGGCGATGCAGCCATAGCTGCATCTTCTCAGAGGATATCATTGTCTGGGCTTCGTCTTCATCAGGAACTGTTGGCGTTGAGCTCCTTCTTCATCATCTGGGTGGCGATTGGCTCTGGGAGCCTGTTTCATCTTGGCGCAGGCCACTGAGTTGGATGTCAGGGTGGCGTTGGGTGTTACCTGGGGTGCTGGTGCTATTTTTAGCTGCTCGGTGTGTGTGGGGTTGAGGCACTACCCCTCTGAGGGTAGCGCAAGAGGGATCTGAGGTTATTCAGGGAAAACGATTCTTTGAGTTTAATAAACAGTTGTAATACTATGTTTGAGTTGTCATCTCTTCATTGATTTCTAGTTGTGATCACTCGGTTGTCTTCTATGAACGATTGTTGGGACTTGTGTGGAGAGAATCCACAGTTTCGTGTGTTCTGTCACTTCGCTCCTCTAAGTCTTCCGCTGCGTTCTTTCTGCTGGGCGGTGTGACACTCCACTACCTCTCCCCTTCCTTTTGTGCATGTATGGGTGTGTACGGGAGTTCCTGTGAGTGAGCGTTGATAAACTTTCAACGGACAATCATGTTCATAACAACATTGCCTGGTGGAGGTGAGAAGAGTGTGGGCAGGTGTGTTGGAACAGGGAGACATGTGGAGGGTGGAGGAGATTGGGCGGCAACTTGAAGCTTGGTGACAACTGAGGTGAGGTGAAGGAGTTCGCTCACTTGCTTCGGCTGCGGCAGGTCTTCAACCATCCATAGCCGGTCGTCTTTTTCCGCTAGGTTCCTGCTCTCCGGCATTCAAGAAAGGCTGCTTCTTTTGGCCTCCTCCGGACAGTCTATGCGTGTGAGAGAGATCAACAGGTGGAGAGAGAGAAAAGCTTCTTCAACTCGTTCTTCCACCTCCTCCTGTACTTCTTCGTTTTTTCTTCTTTGTTACCATTTTTTTCTTCTTTGTTACCATTCTGGCCAATTTCGAACTACAAATTCATGAGAAAGCACAATGTCGTCCAATTGCAAAAAGAAATGAATGAACTTGAGAGGAAAGAGAGGGAAAGAAGAAGAGGAAGAAGATGTACACCAGCAAAGACCAATGAGAATTCCCCTTCCTCTCGCCAACCAATCTCCTCTGCTTTTTCTCCTCCTGTGATGACCCGCCAAAACACAGACTGAGAACACTGCTGATTTCTGGGATTGTTGTTGGAATGTATGCCTTGCTGAGATTCCCTCATTCTGCTGTGATTCCTAAGTCTGTATGTGCGTGCCTGTCAGAGTGCTTGTCGGCCTGAGTGTGTGTGTGACCCGCAAGGGTACTTGTTGGTTTGGAGGCCCCACAGGGAGGGTACTTACCCGTGGCTGTGACTTTGAGGGTTGCAGCAGGAAAAACACTCAAGTAGCGGGGGTAGGCCCGCAACACTTAGA